GTCCAACGTCATACTTTCACATATTATTGTTTTCAATTTTAATCTACTTTATGGCTTGTAGTGCAATCGGATTATTAATTCTGACTCATAATAACAATGATTTTTCTAGAAGGATAGACAGCTTTTCTGTAACTATTCGTCTCATTGACAGGGCCTTTTTTCCCACTGTTATCTCCCCCTAAACCTGGTCCATCGAGCGATAAGCAGTAGTATACTCTACCCTAGCCAGATAATTAGACCAAGAGAATGCAGCATATTTAAAATAATATCAATATAGACAATAATTTTACCTATATAATTACTATTTAAAATATTTTTATTTCATATAATTAGTCGAGTCGAGTAAAATTAAACACAATAGAAATTGTTTAGTAAACGAGAAAAATATGGTTTTGATTACTTTCAAATTCAATTGTATGTTATGAAATATCCCTGGGTATCAAAATCTGTTTGTGGATATTGAGTTAATTTAAAATGTATACACTTAGATTAGGAATTACTGCACGAAACCCTTTGTATAATATAAATAAAAAAGGGCACAATATGCTATTTTCATAAAGTATCTGGTAACTGGCTTTTGTATATCTCGTCAAAAGACATGGGAAAACGGGAGTGTCTTTGAATAAAAGTAACGTGATTTAGAATCATGTTTTTAAAATCATTCTAATGATGTTAACTTTATAATATAAATGAAGTTGTTGTTTGAACCACGCCCATTAAAAATGTGCAAGTATTCGGAAAAACCACTTTTCTTGCTAGCTTGTTTCTTTACGATAATCTGACCTTAAATTTCCCTTTGGCTGATTCCTACCGCAATATTTAGACACTTAAATTGTATGAGAAAAAATCACAGGAAGGAAGACATTAAATCTTAAAATCAAAACAATCATTTGCATTTTGCTAATATCTTTTTCTTCCATAGTGATTACTTGATTAGCCTTTAGAGGTCAGTCTGATGTTGATACCGCGTCCGTATACACAATTTTATCTTTTATTTTTAAGAATATCCTCCTATAATAATTAATTTGTGACTTCATCCAAATTACAGGAAAAAATAGTCGTTGCAGTATATTAAGTTCATCAACAGATGGGGAAATTCTTTTAGATTTTCTTTGAAATAAAAAGAATATTTATACAGTGAAAACATTCTCCGTTGTACAGTTTGATATTCCTGCATACTGAATTAACTTTTTAAAATATTTTTATCCGAAAAAGAAATTAATTTTTTTATTTTAGAAATATGAGTTACTCATTGACATTCTTGTAAATAAGAAAATTTTATTTTATAATATTTTGGTTATAAAAATAACACCTACTCTTTACATACATATTAACATACATGAACATTTTAATATTCAATTTAATTAATAATCTTAGGCTTATGAAAAGCCGTTATAGTCACAATATTGAACAATATTTATTTTAAAATAAAATTAATACCTAATAATATATTAATAGCCCGTTGCGTAGTAGTAATCACCGAATCTTTAGTCATTAAAAACAGATAAAAAATGTATTATTCTAATTTTTTAATAATACGTAATTTATTCGTAGGTATTACTTAGCATATCTAATATCTACTCATTGCGAACCATACGTTTCGATTTCTTATTTAATAGTAGACAGTTGATAGAAAGCAAAAAGGAAAATACACTTAAAAATCTGGCAAGAAAATTATGGATATATAATTTTCTTTTAAATGAAACTTATTTTGACGACGAAAACTATATACCCCCGACGTTTCTGTTACTTTGCAGCAACCGTGATAGCGGGCAGACGAGATGTGAATCTTTCGTAAAAAATACGTAACTATGGAATATGAAAATATTAAGAGCGGGAGGTATAACAGCTAAATCTCTCTATAACCTACTAAAAACTTGGGCCTGTCCAGAACTCACATTAATTCATTCTTGGAACGAACGTCGAAGGCAGCCCTAGTAGGTTCTTTTCAAATTTGGTTAGGTAGAGAGAGGAGCTTGGACAGTGGAGGTGAGCGTTTAACGCGCGTTAGATAGGGGGCCCTTAAACCTTCACCTGGGTCGCAAATCTCAGGCACTGTTGAAGCTCCTCTCCCTGCAACGCGATGGACACGGCACCCGTACGTTGAATCCATTGGATGCTAAAAGGTTTCGTCTCTCATTTAAATGAATACTCGCGAAAGTCTTAGATCTCATTAAAATTTTCTTTTTTCCTTGGACATAAGAACCCCTAATATCCAACACTTTAATTAAAGTGTGTTTTTAATATAATTTCAACAAGACGAACTTATCAGTAATAGATAGGTACTAATACTTCCAGGTCTATAATTTGATGATTCATTATCCGTTTATCAATGTGTTTATCTATGATCAATAACATATAAAACAGTTCATTTAGTAGTGTTCGTTTTTGGACGCATACGCGTATTCTTACAAATATGTTATGTGCTTGGTGTGATTCCTAACAATTAGGTAATTAATAATGTAGTACCGTTTTAAAAAACAAGTCTTTCGTGCTCATGGCATGATAAATCAAAATTTCTACGTCAGTAATAGGCTGTTATATAATATTATGTACTCGTATATATGACAATATACAAATTTTCACGTCTTTGCGAGAAAGATATTGTAGGCTAGTCTAAATATTATTTGGTCATAATTTGAAAAGATTAATGACAAAGTATTTATGTAACATTTTTTTGATATAAATAGGTACATAGCGGCACATCTTTTTTGTACATATTATGAGATGAAAATTCAATCACGCTTTCCGGATAGCAAAATTACTAGAAAGTCCACAATCATAACAAGTAGGGATACGCTGAACTCTCTTGAAGCATTTGTAGTATATCAAAAGCAACATACATGTATGTCAGCAAAGTATATCGATGCTTCCATCAATCACAAGATAAGTAAATCCAATACTCCTACTAAAAAATGTTTTGTAAAACAATTTCATCGGAACTATAACAGAACTAGTTCAGTCTAGATTGGTGCCTGTCACGATATCTGTACCCCAGCGGCAGACAACATGCTGAAACTTGGTCCTAGGAAGTTTTTAAAGGGTTTTTTCTTATTTATGTATGCCATTGCTTCATTTCGATATAAATTCGTTATAATTCGATATACATTCGAATATAACAGATTATAACCTATGGACGTCGTAATTTTGGGTTAACATGTTCCTATGTATATAAGAATTTCAATTGAGTGACATTTAAATTCTGAGGGACGTCAAAATTTACATTATTTGAACAATTTGCCAACAAAACTAAGGTTTTTATTCTCAATACATACTGTTATATTAAAATGAGTAGGATTCAAAATTTAAATTGAAGTAAGCAAGGTTGAAAATATTGAGAATATTAAAGAAATGATTCTACTTAGTTAGTTTCATATATCTTTGTTGGTTTAATCAAATAATAAAATGACCTTACATATTCGATTACTCCTTTTTAAGTGTTGCATGTATGACTTTGTTAAACTCTGCTGGTAAAGTTAAAATTATTATACACATATATTTATGGTATTTACTTAGTTGTATACCTATTTAACAAGAGTATTCATCGCGTTAAGAACAAGAAAGTGGGAAAATTTTGATAAAAATATTCCTTTCAATCATCTTAAGTAGGTACATTACAGATATAAATACGCCATATTTCGTTTGAAATTTTTTTATGCTTTTGATAACTAAAATTAATACATACACAATTACTAATCAAAAAATCGTTAGTAAAATTTAACATAGGTACCAACCTACTAACTTCCATATTCCAACTCTAAAATAGCTCTAAAACTCCAACTATGTAGTTAATGGAAATATAAAGGAAGAAAACAAATATAACCTCATTGCTTCATTAAATATTAGGCACTATTTATAAGAGAAACGGTTTAAATTTTGATGTAGAGAGAGCAATTCAGACTTTAACAACGTTGATATGGGACCAAGACAAGACGGAACTAATCCGAATGAACAATAGTCATCTAAACTGAGATCATTAAAATAATGATTACAAAGGCTAAAACATTTAAGGAACTAATTTGAATAATTTGACCACGTCACCGTATAAAATGTAATGTTCTTTCAAGTAAAGAAAATTTAGTAATTACTATACATAAAATTAAGATAAATATTCCATTCCTTTTAATATCAAATATATGAAGATTATAATTATAATCATAGAAATTTAAGGCATATCAATTCGCTACAAAAACGTCCTCCATAGTTTGAACAATGAGTGAATGTCATTACGGGGCCACGACTTCGCAACACTCAGCCGAACAGTGCTTTAGGAATGTATAGAGACGAATTTATACCATGAATTAATTATTATAGCGTCTATATCGATATTCTGTAGCATATCTCTGAAACTTATCTAAGAGTACGCTTACATTAATATTACGTCAATTTGGTTCCGTATCTTTATATTATTATTTTAATAAAAATAGCTATTAAGAAAAAATCATGAAAAAAATTTATAATTATAAGATTGTTTACTTAATATTTATTTGTTCAAAATATTATACTTTAATGCAACTAAATAGATACATAGTCGAATATAAATAAAATGTCTTCAATCTTATTCAATTATTTAATTATGTCGCATAGAAAAACGAAATGGAGCCTATATTCGAAATTATTTTAACTTAAAAGTTTTTAATGATAATAAATATCGATTGCTTCTTATAATCAAGTAATAAGTTGTGATAAGCCATACAAAATCCTTATTAAATTTCCCGATATGAACACGTAAAAACCTTCCTTTTTAAGAAACTATTTGAATTAATTGATAACATTAACACAGATTCCTAAATGTGTGATAATTCAGATAAGTCACTGTTTTCAAACGTGATGGAGTCTCTATACGATTTGTAGTTCACGTTTTGTTCTCAATAAAAAAAAACAACAACGCTAGCTAGTCCACCGTTGACTGTATCCATCGGTTAGTATTTTCGTCAGCGTTCCGAAGCACCGTGCATTGTAAAACTTGTTTTCACTTATATTACAAATAACCTTTAGACATGACGCACGCGTTTTTAGTTGTGGTTACAATCGCTATCAGTTTGAAGTTGCTGTTTTTGATGTTTTCACTGTTCGTTACTCTCACAACCAGCTCGGAAACACAGGTGAGGATACATTTTGTAATAAATAAACTATTTTAAACTAATATTTGTACGATATTATGAGATTCATATAGACTATGTCGGCGATACCGTTAGATGTAAATATTTAAAGTGACAGGTTTTTTTAAGTATCTGTATCATGTATATAGTTTTTCTTTTTTTATAAACACGTTAACCAGTAGTTAGTGGAGTCTGAGACCGCTAAATGAACTCATAACAATGATAATAAGAAACCATGAGATTTTATGATGAATCGAATTTATTGAAAGTGTAAATAATGTCGTTATAAAAAACTAGAAACAAATGGTGAGGCTATTTTATTGAAGAAACACTATCTGGAAATCAATATGTATGTATGTAGTATGTGCACACTCTCATACCAATAACAAATATAAAAAATTATTAAATAACTAATTTATGAAGATATTTGGTTAAAATCGATGAATAATGTAAAAATATAACATCAACAATATAATATGTATGTATATACGTACTTCAAAATTATTTTTGATAATCAAACTTCGTCTTTAAAATATCTTTATGTAAAACTATATTTATATATAACTATCAACGAAAATAATTATAAAGTTGTGAAATTCTTTTGTTAATGAATTTAAGGAAAAATTATTCCATGATAATAAATAAGCCTATTTACATTTTACCTTTATGTCTCTCTATTTATAAAACCTTAATGAACCTACATTTCCCGGAACTCGGTGGGAATAAGTTGGTTCCTTATGTTCTTGTGATTGAAAGTTATTTGTGTTCGCAAATTATAAGTAAAATTTATCATTTATATATATATTTTACTTTAAGTCTATTTTAAGGTCATAAAGTTTACGATAGAGTTGTATGTAGGACATCGTTGATTACGGTCGGTTTTCTACAGCGATACAAGTTAATAGAAAATAGTTTAATAGCTGTAATCCCTTCTCGGAATATAGAAAGAGGTATAGATGTTGGAGATCATACTACTTATTTGTCCATACTTTTATCGTGTAACTCTTCAAATAGCTCGAAGACTAGTTTTCTGACAGATTAATTGAGTAAATTAGGATATGTTGCAAGAATTTTAGACAACCAAAAGATAGTTTCAATGAAATCTCTAAATCGAAGGAGGGACATTATTTTCTTTTACCCGTACATGGGAAATTGGGAATATGCTGAAGAATTTATAACTCCAGGCTAAGAAATAATCTGAACTACTTGTCACTTAATACATTTCGTCTTTGGACTTTTTTTACATTGCATCGGCTTGCAAAAGTTTTATAACAAAATATGCTTTTATATGGATAGAGTACTTAAGTTCATTCAACCTAGCAAAACAAGAATTACCTACATGCTATTCATTCATCTATATATTTGCTATTTGGGTGGACATTTTACGTGTTTACTATATAAACGAATAGGACAGATTTTTTCTTCATTTTCATTTTTCTGAAAATACAACGTTATGAGACGTTTCAGAAACTTCACCTTCCAGTACTCTGTTGTAATTCCATTTAATCTTGTTTATATTCGTCTAGTTCACCTTGAATGTAATCGCATTTATATTTTTATATTATCTAATTATTTTTGGTTTTGTTTAGTTTACCTATCAGGAGTGGAATATTTTGTAGACATATAACATTCACTTTATACTATATTATTGAAATTAACTCAAAACCACTAATTTAATAAAATAACTCTAATCTAACGTGAATTAATCCATTCGCTGTTCAATTTAAAACGTAAATTTTTTAAACCTAACAATATTATTTAGCTGCAGTATTTATTATTTTTTTTTGCCATAATACATGACTAATCATTTAATATTTTTGATATTCATACTCATGTTCCTAAACAAATTTCAATATGTACTAATTAGTTAAAATCAATAAAAATACTTACCAAAATTGGGCAAAAAAATTTCAAGCTAAACGTGATCAGTGCTAAATACAAATTCACGGATATCTTACATTCTTGTACATATATGAAATATTTTCCAAAATTATTATATCTCCAATCGTTCTCTGTGGAATAAAACAGAGTTCTAGTATATGTTATTTTAAATCCATTAACGACTTCTCATTTTTTTTATTTTGTGTTAAATCTCAGTTACAATTAATAACTCGTTAATAATTAATATTTTGCTATGATTTTTTCGTATGTTTATTTATTTTTGCCGTCACAATATATGTATATACATTATATTATTACAGACGCCGGGCGATTTGCAGACGAAGCAAAGGAAAACGAACGTGATGTCCATTTGGAAGCAAACATTCTCAAGATTCTTTAGCAAACCACAGTGTATGGAGACGAACAACAAAGCATTTAGTATGAAACTTTGAAAACATACATTGTCTACCTGTTATTTGATAATTATTTTAAAAATTACTTAAACGTAAATAGAAAATTGATGTTTTAATGGAACCATTAACTGGTGATATTGATGTGAAATTCTACACTTTTTGATAGCCACATTTAATCTCCTCAGGGGTGTAAAATACTAGGTTACAGAGGCAAACGTAGTATTACGGTTGTGCAATATTATGTTACTGTATGACTTGGAAAAGAATATTAAATATGTTTATACTTAATGAGCTTATTTAAATAGAGTATAACATTATATAAGAAAAGTGTTCTATATTTTTTTAAATTATAATATCGAGAAAAACCCCTTAAGTAAACTGATTACTATCGAGACATTTCATTATCTTATCATATCAGATGACAGTTTACGTGTGATAACATTCCAAAATCAAATATGTAAACACTACCTGGTTTTAGTATCAATTTAATAAAAAAAATGTTATTTGTATGATAAAAATATATAGTTTCCTACCACATTCATTTATTTAATGAGATTGTGATTAACAAAAAAAAATCCTTGAGCTATACAGACTAAAAGCATTTATATAGTCATACTAAGACTTATTAACGTTTTTTTATAACAAATGTAGTGTATATTAAGTAAACTGTCTGATAACTTAATCGTTTTACGACAGAACTATTTTATACTGATTATATTTTCGTAAGCTGATTCACTTAGTTTTGAAATCGATTGCAATGTATGTATACAGTTTAACTTTGTACCGTTTCGGTTCGAGTTAATTTCAATGTTGGTCATAAAATATCAATCAATCAAAGTAAATATGTTGATAATGTTTATAGGTATTTAAATAATAAAAGTATAAAACAAAAATAATATATAATTTCACCAAAAGATTATCGTATAGATAAACGTCAATCAAACGTCAAATACAAAAATAACATATTTATAACAAAACAATAGTTTTATTTCCCTCTACCATTTTTTAATAACATTAGATTAATTTCGCGTACTCCAAGCGGTGATACCATTGTTTTCTTATGGATGTCCAATGCAACATTCTCCTTCTTATATCTCAAAGCTTCTTTAACAATATATTTATTAAGATCGTGTACGTGAGGGTGTGTGGTATACTCCGCTACGTCCATCCACTTGCAAGCGTTAACTTCTCTTTGTGATAATACAATGTCCCGTGAAAGTGCCTTCATCATCAACAGCATGTATATATCTGAGTTTCCGTACATCATGTTGTGAGTGTGTCTAAATGTTATCAAAGATTCAAACTCTGATTTCACACCGGTCTCTTCGAAAACTTCTCGTTTGGCTGCATTTGTTATGTCCTCACCTGAATTGGAAATGTATTAAAATTTTCACATATTATGTAGAAATAAACTAAACTAGTAAAATAGTTGTAATTAGTTATAATACGTAAGTAAGTAATAATATATGGTGTTGATCTTAGAAATCCTTAACTTCAAACAACATAGTTGCTTCCCAGTTTAAATGACGTAATTTATAATTGATAAATATATTATCTATTATAATCTTATTCTATTATGTAGTATATATAATTGTGAATAACTTTATCATCTCTAAAGTCTAAACTTGTTTACATATATTTATCATTCTGAATGTGATGTTCTATCAACAAAATACATAAATGGACATGTAGTAGCGTTTTTCACTCTTTATAAATATCTTTTCAAGGTGTATTCAAATCTACATCATTGTAATTATATTATGTCTTGTTTAACTCTAATATAGCATTTTTTATGAACTTCTTTAGGATAGAGTATAAATTTAAACATATTTATTTTACAGTCCTTTTCTTAAGTTTCTAAACCTGACTAGAAACCTGATAAATAGAAAACCTGAGCCTATATCATTCTATAATAATATTCAGATAGGATTTTACATTCTGTTAAATTATTTTGTTTAAAGAGATTTTTAAATATTTTCAAAGAAGTAAGGGGGATAATTTTATTTTAATATTGTATTAAAATATAATACTTTAGCTTTATACAAATAAATGAACCTGAACTTAACTTTTCTGAATATTGAACTATTAAATTCAAATTTAGTACTTGTTGCTATATGTGTATTGTGTGTCAATTAATGGATAAAATAAAGTGTGTAAATACTAAAAATTCAATATTGTTATTCTTAAATCTAGACAATACAACTTTAAAACTGTTCCTGTTGAAGGTTCACACTAATTACTTATACAATAAAATAATAATAATAAAAATAATTAAATGGTCTCAAAAAGAAACAAAATACAATTATTTTTCCACTGCTATTTCTTGCCTTCTACTTCTATGAATGTGAAATAAATATAAAGTTCTTCAAATACTTAATTGTAAATATAATTGTAAGCTTGAACATATATTTTATATAAAGTAATGAAAGTCTTAATTTAATTCTATAAATAAAATACTATGATTTTTTTATTTTAAGTGATAAGAGGTTTACATATGAGGTTTACATATTAAAAAAAATGTAAACAACTATACTAGAAACACAAAAAGTAGTTTTAAAAGTATAGGTATTTAATTATATTATAGCTTGTTATACAGATTGTAATAAAAAGATATAATAATAATTAAGTAATATTTTAATTGAGGAATTTACATAACAATCATATAAGCAGTTACTCTTGTTTGTAATTTTTAATTGTATTTTATTCTTAGCATGAGGTACAGTGGGATAGCTCTCATTAAATAAAAAAATATTCTAGTAGCTCTGTAAGAGATATTTAAAAGTGTATACTGTTTAGAGTTTAGTGAAATATATGTTTATTGCAGTCTAAAAAAACAATATATTGTTTTGCTTTTAAGTGTCCTTTTGAGTGGTTTAATACCGGGATAGCAATGTTAACCAATCAAATTGTGGTTTAGAGCATTTAGTTAAGTAGAAGTTCACTTCAAGGAGTTTTAATACACTGTTTATAAATAAACAAAATAATCTCACCTCTTTCAACATATCCACCAGGTAATTTCCAATGGGGGTAATTATAATTCTTTTCAGAGACAGCCAGGAGCTGATCTTTATCATTGAGCACAAGAGCCCCCACTCCAAGGTTTGTGTGACAGGCGGGCGGTAGATTCGGTTGAATATCGGCCGGCAACCATTTATACATCATGAGGTATTCATCTCTGGCATGATGAAAATTAAAACCTTTCTAAGAATACCAACTGTATTTTTAATAATTTCATAAATCTGATTTTTATAAAACAATTTTTAATTGGTATTGAATAGTTTCTATTACACAAAAAGGAACAGAATAATATATTTGTAATAAATTTGCTTACTTGTGCAAGTAAAGGGACATAGTCTGCGTCTGCTATATGGATTTTGAACCATATACATTTCCGTTGTTCTTCACTCCATTGTTTTAAAGATTCTAAAAAAGTAAGGACAACATTGTACTTATGTATATTAATCAAAACTTAACAATATAATAATAATATGAGTTTATGAATGTATCAGAGTTACTATATAATTATTGCAATAATGACTTACTTTGTAGAGTGTCATTAAAATTATCTTTTGCGCAATTAAACTTAGTAGAATCTACTGTAATACCATTAAATCTATCTAGTTCCCCTGTAAAGACCTGGTCTACTGAATATACAGTACTGTTACATGATAAATTTCTGAAATGAAAGACAAACTGAAATTTAATGTTTCATTTATATAAAATTTATTTTCTAAAACAAAACACACCGAATTTGATTTAGATAATAACTTAATCCCTTTAATTTACTAATCACTTTGTAATTAACAATCATTGTTTTGGATTCGACTTGTTATATTATATAACTTTATTATTATACATTTATTGATAATTGAGTTGCTTTGTAGTAAAAAATAATCTATTTTGAAGCATAATTTATGATTTGACATTTAGCTAAGACTTAGCGGAAAACTTTTTCTTGTCAAAACATTGAGACATTTGTCGTCATATAGGCCCACCTAATTTTTCAAAATTTTGATAGTATTTCAACTTTGAATTCAAGTTTTCTTCACTAACGTTTTAAATATCCAGAAAAAAGGAGTCACAATACAAACCTTGAGGAAAAAATAATATATTGAATTCTTATAGTATTAGTAAGCATAGTGATGTGAATATTTATTCAAATGATAATTTATTGAAAACTATTTAATAATAATGTAACTTTTACTTCTAGAAATTTCATACTAGAATAATTAGGAAAAAACTTCAATATTTCAGATCAAATACTATAAAATTGTATTTAAACAAAGATAGCTTGTTTAGTAAAGCAACATTAGAGGCGGATGGAAGCAAATAGTTTATAGAGATATTTTTAAAACTGCATGTTATCACTGATATATGTGTTTTTTTTTAATACTATCTTTTATACAATGATTTTTGTATAATAACTTTATCTCATTTTTTTATTGGATGTTATCATTCCAATTCCAGGTCAGCTCTGCACTCATAACAAAAATTTAATATACTCTGTATAGGAAAATAGATTATATAAATTAGAATAATAATTTTGACATCTTCAATAACAGACTACAAAGGGAAACCTGTCTTTAATTTAGATTTAACATAAATTGTGAATTCATAAGAGGACACGATCAATTCGTGTTAATCAATCCAATTATTAGGAACATTGAAAAGAAAAACAATATGACCGCTACAAAACCATGAATACATTTATATTAAATAAATTAAGAGAACAATGGTTTTACCTCAGCGAAGATTTAAAGGAATCTATACAGTTTATAAGATTGCTATAGCAAATTGACCAAATGATTGTAAATAATAAAACAATAACTCGGCGTCAAGTGCTATCTCCGCCTACAGCGCCCACTGCACTTATTATGTTATTATTGTGAGTGGTCAAGATTATCGAGATGTCTGGGGAGGGTGAACGCGCCTCTCGCCCGAACTCCCTGTTACTGGAAACGCCTGGACCGGAACGCGAACCACTTCGATTCGATGTTCAGCTCGTGGGAGCGCCGCCAGAAGTTGAACAGCTTGTTAATAACATCAAACAAGTTTCAGAAGACTTTCTCTATCACTGGAAAACTTTTCCAATTGGTACGGAATTTTTATGAATTAAACCGTTGTTACCGAAATTGGATCGTTTATATAAGATATTTATTAAACAATGTTGAATAATGTTTCACTAATAAATATATTATTCAATAGCTATTAGTAATTCCATATAAATATTTTTGAACAATCTTATTAACAGTATTACCACCATCAAGATTCACCGGCCCAGACAATAGACCGTCAGATATTATTATTGCCCCTCCCTGTGACGAGTTGGATGCTGCAGCCCTCGATGCTGGCGTTGAACCACATCCCTTAACACCAAAACAGCTACATGCAATACGAGAAAAAGGGTAAGTATCCATACAATATATAATTTTACTATCTAAATATATGTATAACAAAATCCTGGAAATTGAATAGGGACTAGATGGTAATTTTAACTAAATGACCTCATAACATGCCCTATTAAAAAAAAATTGAGTATATCACCCATTAATATGTACTGGAAAATTGGTAACACAAAGGCGACACACAATTATGCTTAATGCTTTGCATCCTAAGGTCTTGATGAGCTTTAACATTAAAATAATCATTAATAAAAATTAACGCTGACATTTAATACATTTAAATAATTTATTAAACTTATAAATATAAACCGAAGTAGATTCATTTTGTTTTAAAAAACAAAACAATACATTGAGATTCTTATTTTAGTAGCTTCCATATAGTTTTATCATTATTTGTTTTCTCATAAGCCTGCACAAGGACAAAGTATATATGCCGAGGAAGTTAAATGCTAAACAATTGGAATCCATTCGTGAATGGGGGTATGTCACCCTGGTTATCTAATGTTTATGTATATGTATAGCTTATATATTCTTATAGAACACTGACGCCAATAATTTCATTTAAAACTACAAAAAATGTGACATAAATGTATAGTAAATTTTAATGTGTTTGTTAAAGATTGGATTTTGAAAATCTTGCTTTATGGATCAACATTCACTACAAGTAGAAAATCTACCTCTTTATTACATTTATGTGTCTTCTTATATTTATTCTGATTTTGGCGGAATTGGTATTCAGTAGTAAGATTGGCTTCATTGTCAATAATTATAGCATGATCATCATTTCCATATTTATTATTTAGTGCCTGCGCCCTAGCTTAGTTTTTCTTTATGCAATACATACTTCATTCTCCTATCCCTTGTGTCACCAATTAAAACGTACTATTGAATTATGGCATGATTTTATGTTTACATCCCTTCCCTCTCTTTTAGATTTTGATATAATTGGAAACATTTACTTTCTATTGAATTTTCTTAAATCTGACAATTAGTCAAACAATTTATATAAATATCTAATAAAAAATACTTCATTATGTTTATTATAGATTATATAATATTTTTAATTTAAATTGCAGTTGAAACTACTTTAGACAGAATTGCACTATATTATTAATTAGCAATACACAATATCAAATCCATAGAGCACTGAATTAATAATATTATAAATTCTTACAATTAAAATTGACGACATTAAAAAAAATAATATTAAATTCGTTTCTGTTTAAATATAAAACAGTTACATACTAGCATGACAACCTTGTTCAAGAAACCTTATATCTGAAGTAAACTATATATTCATATTAAATCCAGTGAGTTCGAAGTCCCATCGCGTCATTTCCCCGGCCAGACCCATGTATGGAGAGTGGCTGGGTGGCTTCAAAGAGGCAGGGCTCGTGCTAAGGAAGAACTATATTGTCATGTAGCAAGAGCCGTGGCCCTTATAGTGGTTGTATCAAGAGACAGACTTCTGAGAGACGAGCCGTTATCTTTGATAGCTGGTGGTAAAGCGTTCTTGGAAGGATTTCAACGGTATGTTTAAAATATTTAATACTAGCTGCGCCCCGTGGTGTTACCCACAGATTTCCGGGATGTAAAGTAGCCTATGTCTTATTCCTGGACATCAGCTTCTTGTCTACAAAATTTTATCAAAATCGGTTCAGCCGTTTGAGCGTGAAGAAGTAACAAACATACACACACTCACAAACTTTCGCAATTATAATATTAGTAGGATTTTATCTAGTATAACTTGTACAAGTTTTTGGATAGTCTGTTTCTGACTTAAGAATAGATTGTTTTTTTTAATGTAATTATATACGATGCGTTTCTGTTAAAGATTATTATTTTACAGATTAATCGATCTAATATTCGGTCTGCCGTCCTTGGAAGCTCGAGATCTTGAAAAGAAAATACGCGAGGAAAGATCACGTTATTTGGTAGCTGAGTTAATATGTAAGGTGAGACTACCAGAACTTAAAGTAGCGTTTTTATGTGACTGCTAACAGCTTTTAAATGTAAGTGTGAGTCTTTGAAAACCTGCCGATTAAAAACGAAATAATTGCTTAAATACAATTTCTTTTCAAACATCACTACAATTTAACATATTATCTATAAGTTTATAGTAAAGACTTTTTAAATTATAATCTTCTTAAAATAAAAATCCATTATTCAAAATTTGTCCGGCTTCAAAAAGCGCTGTAACGATTAGGTTTCGAATTTTGCTACCTATAATATATTTTACAAAATGTTTTAATATAATGCTATAGATAAGTAAACCACAAATCATAGATGTTTTTTTTTAAATTGCTCATACAATTTTTTTTTATTTTAGAACGAAAACCAAGAGGATATAGCAGCTTTAGCGGCGTGGGTGTCGCGGGCCATGAGAAGGGCTGCTTCTGAGAAGACAGACGGACGGGAACCGCGGGCCATACCACGTGTACCTTATATATATACAACACCGCAGAGGACACAGGTATACATAGTACTAGTTTGTAGCCGCGACTTCGTCTGTTTAAACTTCCGAAGTTGACTTATGTAGATGTGTATAAAATGTTTTTAAACAATAGAGGTGCTAACAAACCGTCAGCGCCATCTATTTACTGTGTCACGTGACTTCATACATAATACAACTGTTATATTGTAATCCAACGATACTTACACGGAATGGAAGCATAAATATCCTATGTATGTCTTATACTGATGTTTCGGACAAGAGAGTTCGTAAGGCAAGAAATATATAGCTACCTCAGAAATTTTCTCATGTATTTATCAGGCTAATAGAAATAATAGAAGTATATAACTTATGGGAAAAATATATGATTATACTCTGTTTAAAGAACTTAAAAGTCAGTTTTAAAAACTTTTTTGATTAATTTATCACTGTCATGTTAGTTTTCGAGTACATGACTAAAAAATATATATATTTGAAATCAGAACACAATGCATATTGTTTTGTTCAGGTCGATCTCCGTCTATACAAACGTGACCTGCTCCGTCGCGCCGCGTCCTCCCTACAGACCATACTAGAACGAGAGTCGAGAGGATGGTTCTTACACTTCCGGGAACGTAAAGCAGCTCTGCTCGCCAGTCAGAAGATGCCCATCAAGGATATTGAAGAGGTATACTATTCATATTCTAATAATTATAAAAAAAGATATCGACTTTATACATTTTTTATTTACGATATGACTTCACTCCCACTAAAGTTGTGAAATATTCTGCCGATTTCAAAAATTTTACTTGTTGAAAGAATTATAATTTTGAATTCTGTGTGGATAAAACGCGAAGGTGTTGTCCTAAAAGAATATACGCGATTTTTTTAATAAGACTAGTGTCTTTATTAGGTTTCTATGTTAGACCCTATGTTACATATGTGTTTGTATGTATGTACATATACATATATGAATTTAATGTGCTAGGTGATAGAATTCACATTATAAAGACGCAGTTATAAAAGTCGTTGTCACTTAAATAGTTTTGGAATTATTAGTATACTTTAAACGCGTATTATTTATATTTATTTATAAGTACTACTTATTAAGTATTAATATATTTAATATGTACAGGAGGTTAGCACAGCGGCCATGAAGGAGTACGTGAGTCGTGTGTGTAATGCTGTGCTCAGTTGTGAGCAACTAGCGGCCCTTGGACCTTTGGTGCCTGAATTACTAGCAGCACAATTGAGAGCCGCTGTTATCGTTAACAGGTACCAATAAATATAATAACTTTATGTCCCTCAAAGTAGGTTTTTTTATTATTATAAAACATAGGATAATATATTATGGTCTAACATAATATTAAACAAAATGAATTACATTTCGGATCACGTGATCGCCCTGATCACGGTTGCTGAAAAGTAATAGAAACTTCGGGAGTATGTACTTCTTTACAAAAATATGGTACGCGTAGTATATCCGAAAAATATTAGTTTCATTAAAAAGAAAACTCGCGAAAGTCTTAGATCTCATTATGTATTTAGTATTTCATTCCATAATATCATGTATAAATCATATTTGTATAACTATTGGCTGCAAAGAGTCCAACCTAAGACAAAAATAATTCAAAGTCAATTAGTAATAAATATATATAAAATTTAATATAAACAGAGCAGAAGAAGGAGTACGTCGTAAGTTAGAGGCGGGTCTATCTAGTGCGGAGGCTCGTATTATAGCATCACATCCAATATTATCACGAGCCGACACTTGGAAGAAGGAAAAGCTAGCGGCCGCCGCTCATGTATTGAGGAATGAACTGCGATGGACGGCGATGGAAGACGCGGCGAACGCTATGCAAGTCCACAAACTGCATCAGCATAGATACTTCCTGTTGAGGGACTTGGCTTTCCTTAAGGATAGGGAGCCGTTGCTTATGAAGGTATAGACAATTATTTCTCAACTATATGATATTTATTCAAATGTTGTTCGTACTTAGTAGATAAAGGACCGATACCTTTATATATGAAAAAAAGTGTTAGTTACACTGAAGTCACGGGCAAAAATTTGTATTATACTATGTATTTACCATAAAATGTTTATAAACAAAGAACTATAGGGGGATTCTATCGTCACGGGTGGGATACTTGTACCTCGATTTTCAGCGTGTGTGGCTTATTTACGCTAATTGTATCAATGACATCTAATTGGTTTATATAAAATATAATAAATTCATCTACTTGTACTTTATATCATATCCATGTACTTTCATAGGTACAATAAAGACGGGAATTAAACAATGTAAAATTTAATAAAGAAGACAGTAAATTTTTGTCACGGGTGGGACAAAGTTGAGACATTCTTGTTACACATGCATCATATTTAATAAAACTCTGCTAGTTGATAAAACTTTTTTAATGCAGACTATGATATTTCTTTGAGACAATAAACTAAACTTCACATTTGAATAGAAAATAATGTTCTATTATTTACACATATTTAAAAAATAAATAAATAAAGTGTGTCACGGGTGGGACACGTACGATTTACTTGGTACAAGGAGTCACTTATAAGTTTTTATTTCTTGATATGGATGCTAGTTTCATCATGAGAGTCAGTTCAGTAGCTTGGGTCTGCATCAAGGTATACATTTTAAACGCTCACCCTGACAGCTTTGCACCTTTTCAGATCCAAATCAGCATTAAATTCATTAATCAGGTTTGCAAATTAATAAAAAATATATTAATATACCTACTAATATTTTTTAAAGTATCGTGCAATTTTAAGTATTTTGTATCGATATATATAATAATTAAAAAAAAAGAAAAACTTTAAAAAATTACATGAAGGTTTACTTTCCCGTAGAATCCCTCTATAATGAAATAATGCTAATATTAAATTTTTTATGGAGATATAATAATTATTTTGATATAATTCAGGAGCTTCGCGCAGCTAAAACTCCTACCCGTGAATTCACCTGGGCTACACGTATCTGGTTTCCGCACAACTGGACCATCATACGTCACTTCCGGGGTCGTTCAGAGCGGATACCAACCGTCATCAGTGGCAGAGCTACCAACATAGTAACTCCCAGATCAGACCCCTCCCAGCCTGTATTCCTCGCAGACCGCGAGAAAATACGCACCACTACAACAAGGTGGCCATTTTGGAGACTGCTCAATCTTGCTCACAGGTGAGAATAGATTAAAGATCATTTTATGTTGGTCACACATCATTACATAATAAATAAAGTTGCTATATAAACAATTTATATAAGTTCAGAGATCTTTATTTTTCCAAAAAAGACACAGAGTCACTTACATGGAAACAAGAAATTCAAGTAATATTAAATGTCGTTCTTAAGATATAATTACAATAACCAGTTGTTTTACTCATTTAACGTATTCAATTTACAAGTGGGCTGTTTTGTATAATATATTCCGATAGTTTAGTTTTGAATACATTAAATGAGTTTACAGATACATGCTTGATTACAGTTATATGCTTGATTAACACTCTCATTTATTATATCTTATCGGTGAGCTCTACCAATAGTTGCTCTTATATATCTTACAGACAAAAATAAGACATATAGGAGAATATTAAATTAGGAAGACAAATATAACATATATTTTAAATAGAACTAATTTTATTCCAGGAGTTGGTGTTGGACATGGAACATGATGTTTGTGTTGGGAGTGCTCATTCCTTGGTGTTCCCCGCTGTCTCTACGGACACTGCTCTGTGTCAAACCATTTGTACCGGATCTAGAACTATCACAGGTTGATGCATGACTTTATTATTGATAGTGCCTATATAACTATATTTTTATACATTAAAAAAAGTCGTGTCTGTTAAGCTATTTGTAACTTAAGAACGGCTGTACAGTTTTGGCTAACAATTGGTTGAGAGATAGGTTAGAACAAGGGAAAGGACGTAGGATACTTTTAATCCCAATGAAAAATTTTTTTTGATCAAATCCAAATTCTTTAAGGAGGAATAGAGTTTGTACGGTCAGCTATACATTTCTTATTCTGAAATTAACGCAGACGAAGTTGCGGGCAAAAACTAGTAGAATATACAGGGTGACTGGTGAATTACTATCAATATTTAAGGAGAATACTCACTACATGATTCTCATACGAATTATGTAAAAAAAATAGGCACTTAATTTTTGACAAAATTTCCGTATAAATAAATAAAGTGTTGACACGTTCCAAGTGTTCCAAGTGTGGACGCGTGCGGCGGCGTGCTGATACAACACCACGCCGCCAAACGCGTATGTGTGAGTGTGTGTGTATACCTAATCTGTAGGGTGTTCACACGATGCGTAATTAATTACATAACTTTTGGTTAACTTTACTTAGAAGTTTATTAACATATTTATGTTATATTAATTTTTATTTTGTCATATATGATCGTCAAATATCACGTCCTCAAATATCGATAGTAATTCACCAGTCACCCTGTATTTTAGAAATGTGTTTGAAGAAGATATCTTAAAATTATCATACATAAAGATGTAGATATTCTATGTTTTATAATATATTGACAGTAATAAACATTAATATCAAACTAAATGTATATGTTATGAGTTCATATGATTAACCTTCCTACTCTACTTTATGAATTACTAGCTTTTGCATGCAATTTCAATGAGAACAATTAATAAAGCGTATTTAAATTATAATTTACAAACGAGTAAGTCAGGTGACTTCACACAAAAAAACTTGATATGACTAATGTGTTTCCAAGAATAGTATTGAAATGTTGATATAAATTATAATCATATGTTATTGATTATTAAACTATATTATAAGAAAAAATATCAAAATCACCTCAGTTCTTTTCACGAAAGAGCAACACACGTATTTGTACGTCTAATCTTATTTTTCTGAACTATTGCTATTCTTAATAACTATCCCGCATCTCACCGTTTTAATATTAATATATTTTAGGTAAACGGAACGCTTTTTCCGAAACGTAGCAGTGAAACTCAAACTATGTGGTCGCAATTGCTCAAACTGTGGCGACATGTGTCGAAAGAGAGGACCCGCTTTGAAACGGAACCTGATACGGGTAAGCAAATATAAACCTTAAAATAATATATATATAGCTATACAAATCGTCTTTACAGAATTAATGAGGTACCTAGTTACTGGAACGTCATTGATATTTTGCGTTAATACAGGGTGTATGAAAAACTGTGTCAACCCTCTTAACTACGTTATCAGTATCGATAATGTAACACAATAAAACAACTTACATTTACAAACTCTTCAATAAAAATAATAAAATTAAATATTAAATGATTATTATATGTAGAGTAATAAAATGTTTGTAAACCCTGGTATAACACGATGACACGCAATGACGTCATCACAGCTGCTGCGCTACTAGTGACGACCTTGAAGTTACTTTCACATTATTGAAAATATCGATATTTAAAAAATCATAACAATAAATAAATATTTAATATTCATATTGTTTCGATACTTATTTTGATATATCACACATTAGTATTATTTTTGATTGTAAAACACCATTTCTAACAGAAATAGATTAACGATTTATCCTAATAATACAACATAGTTAATTTACCTGAAGAAGTTCCAAATTATAATATTGATTAATAATATTTATTATTTATAAAAGTTACTTTAAATGACTAATGAAAAGCATAACTACTTATAGCAATATTAAAAATGTCGATAGAATATTTATCGATATACTTACCTAATAAACACTAACAAAAGACGAGTGTGCCACGCCGGCGGCCGGCGCCTGCGATCAAAGGCCGCGCATGCGTCTTCGCGACGATACGGGGCCTTGACCTTGTATTGCGTCATCATAACTTCTACGCTACTAGTGACGAACTCGAAGTTACTTTCACATTATTGAAAATATCGATATTTAAAAAATCATAACAATAAATAAATATTTAATATTCATATTGTTTCGATACTTATTTTGATATATCACACATTAGTATTGTTTTTGATTGTAAAACACCATTTCTAACAGAAATAGATTAACGATTTATCCTAATAATACAACATAGTTAATTTACCTGAAGAAGTTCCAAATTATAATATTGATTAATAATATTTATTATTTATAAAAGTTATTTTAAAAATGACTAATGAAAAGCATAACTACTTATAGCAATATTGAAAATGTCGATAGAATATTTATCGATATACTTACCTAATAAACACTAACAAAAGACGAGTGTGCCACGCCGGCGGCCGGCGCCTGCGATCAAAGGCCGCGCATGCGTCTTCGCGACGATACGGTGTCTTGACCTTGTATTGCGTCATCATAACTTCTACGCTACTAGTGACGAACTCAAACGTACATTCACATTATTTTGATTGTTTAATCACTTTAACGATTCACTGATACCACTTTTTTTTCAAATATTTCACGTTTCACTATTTTAAAAATCAATTTAAAATAACACTTAGTTAATAATAACATCTACTTGACGGCCATGAATGTGTTGTTCAATATGCCCGCCTTGTACTTCTATGCATTTACGGCATCGGGAAATAAAGTTAGCTCGTACATTTTGTAGGACAGATGTATTTGATTTTATTTCTTCGAATGCTGTGATGATTCGTGAACGCATTTCAGCCTCAGTAAACAGTTCGTCAAAAAGTCTACGCGATTCCGCATAATTACAATCACATTTCCCTAGACACATTAACATATTGAAATATTCCTGGTTGGAGTACATTTTATAAAACAACACTATTTGATAAAACCGTAACCGAAAAGTAATCCGCTCGGTAGAAATTTCCACGAGGAACTAACTAATAAATTATTTTTATTAAAAGGGCGGCATAGGCTCGAATAAAAAATATCGATAAATGAAATATCGATTGTTAAAAAATCATAACAATAAATAAATATTTAATATTCACATTGTTTCGATACTTATTTTGATATATCAAACATTAATATTGTTTTTGATTGTAAAACACCATTATTAACAGAAGTAGATTAACGATTTATCTTATAATACAACATAGTTAATTTATCTGAAAAAGTTCCAAATCATAATATTTATTATTAATAAAAGTAATTTAAATGAAATTATTTTAATGTGAATAGTACAACTACTTATAGCAATATTGAAAATGTCGATAGAATATTTTATCGATAAACGTAATTTTTAAACTTGCAAATTTCTATTCGAAACACTAACAAAAGACGAGTGTGCCATGCCGGCGGCCGGCGCCTGCGATCAAAGGCCGCGCATGCGTCTTCGCGACGATACGGTGTCTTGACCTTGTATTGCGTCATCATAACTTCTACGCTACTAGTGACGAACTCGAAGTTACTTTCACATTATTGAAAATATCGATATTTAAAAAATCATAACAATAAATAAATATTTAATATTCATATTGTTTCGATACTTATTTTGATATATCACACATTAGTATTGTTTTTGATTGTAAAACACCATTTCTAACAGAAATAGATTAACGATTTATCCTAATAATACAACATAGTTAATTTACCTGAAGAAGTTCCAAATTATAATATTGATTAATAATATTTATTATTTATAAAAGTTATTTTAAATGACTAATGAAAAGCATAACTACTTATAGCAATATTAAAAATGTCGATAGAATATTTATCGATATACTTACCTAATAAACACTAACAAAAGACGAGTGTGCCACGCCGGCGGCCGGCGCCTGCGATCAAAGGCCGCGCATGCGTCTTCGCGACGATACGGTGTCTTGACCTTGTATTGCGTCATCATAACTTCTACGCTACTAGTGACGAACTCAAAGTTACTTTCACATTATTGAAAATATCGATATTTAAAAAATCATAACAATAAATAAATATTTAATATTCATATTGTTTCGATACTTATTTTGATATATCACACATTAGTATTGTTTTTGATTGTAAAACACCATTTCTAACAGAAATAGATTAACGATTTATCCTAATAATACAACATAGTTAATTTACCTGAAGAAGTTCCAAATTATAATATTGATTAATAATATTTATTATTTATAAAAGTTATTTTAAATGACTAATGAAAAGCATAACTACTTATAGCAATATTAAAAATGTCGATAGAATATTTATCGATATACTTACCTAATAAACACTAACAAAAGACGAGTGTGCCACGCCGGCGGCCGGCGCCTGCGATCAAAGGCCGCGCATGCGTCTTCGCGACGATACGGGGCCTTGACCTTGTATTGCGTCATCATAACTTCTACGCTACTAGTGACGAACTCAAAGTTACTTTCACATTATTGAAAATATCGATATTTAAAAAATCATAACAATAAATAAATATTTAATATTCATATTGTTTCGATACTTATTTTGATATATCACACATTAGTATTGTTTTTGATTGTAAAACACCATTTCTAACAGAAATAGATTAACGATTTATCCTAATAATACAACATAGTTAATTTACCTGAAGAAGTTCCAAATTATAATATTGATTAATAATATTTATTATTTATAAAAGTTATTTTAAATGACTAATGAAAAGCATAACTACTTATAGCAATATTGAAAATGTCGATAGAATATTTATCGATATACTTACCTAATAAACACTAACAAAAGACGAGTGTGCCACGCCGGCGGCCGGCGCCTGCGATCAAAGGCCGCGCATGCGTCTTCGCGACGATACGGTGTCTTGACCTTGTATTGCGTCATCATAACTTCTACGCTACTAGTGACGAACTCAAACGTACATTCACATTATTTTGATTGTTTAATCACTTTAACGATTCACTGATACCACTTTTTTTTCAAATATTTCACGTTTCACTATTTTAAAAATCAATTTAAAATAACACTTAGTTAATAATAACATCTACTTGACGGCCATGAATGTGTTGTTCAATATGCCCGCCTTGTACTTCTATGCATTTACGGCATCGGGAAATAAAGTTAGCTCGTACATTTTGTAGGACAGATGTATTTGATTTTATTTCTTCGAATGCTGTGATGATTCGTGAACGCATTTCAGCCTCAGTAAACAGTTCGTCAAAAAGTCTACGCGATTCCGCATAATTACAATCACATTTCCCTAGACACATTAACATATTGAAATATTCCTGGTTGGAGTACATTTTATAAAACAACACTATTTGATAAAACCGTAACCGAAAAGTAATCCGCTCGGTAGAAATTTCCACGAGGAACTAACTAATAAATTATTTTTATTAAAAGGGCGGCATAGGCTCGAATAAAAAATATCGATAAATGAAATATCGATTGTTAAAAAATCATAACAATAAATAAATATTTAATATTCACATTGTTTCGATACTTATTTTGATATATCAAACATTAATATTGTTTTTGATTGTAAAACACCATTATTAACAGAAGTAGATTAACGATTTATCTTATAATACAACATAGTTAATTTATCTGAAAAAGTTCCAAATCATAATATTTATTATTAATAAAAGTAATTTAAATGAAATTATTTTAATGTGAATAGTACAACTACTTATAGCAATATTGAAAATGTCGATAGAATATTTTATCGATAAACGTAATTTTTAAACTTGCAAATTTCTATTCGAAACACTAACAAAAGACGAGTGTGCCATGCCGGCGGCCGGCGCCTGCGATCAAAGGCCGCGCATGCGTCTTCGCGACGATACGGTGTCTTGACCTTGTATTGCGTCATCATAACTTCTACGCTACTAGTGACGAACTCGAAGTTACTTTCACATTATTGAAAATATCGATATTTAAAAAATCATAACAATAAATAAATATTTAATATTCATATTGTTTCGATACTTATTTTGATATATCACACATTAGTATTGTTTTTGATTGTAAAACACCATTTCTAACAGAAATAGATTAACGATTTATCCTAATAATACAACATAGTTAATTTACCTGAAGAAGTTCCAAATTATAATATTGATTAATAATATTTATTATTTATAAAAGTTATTTTAAATGACTAATGAAAAGCATAACTACTTATAGCAATATTAAAAATGTCGATAGAATATTTATCGATATACTTACCTAATAAACACTAACAAAAG